GAAAGAAAGAAAGAAAGAAAGAAAGAAAGAAAGAAAGAAAGAAAGAGAAAGAAAGAAAGGGAAGGAGGGAAGAAGAGAGGAGAAGGGAAGGAGGGGGAAAGAAGGAAGGAAAGAAGGAAGGTAGAGAGGGGGAGGGAGGGAGGGTGGGAAAGAAGGAAGGGAGGAAGGGAGGGAAGGAGAGAAGAAGAAAGTTCTCTGATGAGAAATACTCAGCTGAATAACTTTAAAAGGTTTGGAGAAAGGAACAAAACAGAGAGAATGATGTTGAATATACTAGAAAGTTCTCTGGCAGGAACCAAGTTGATCTGTTGCTAATCAGTGAAAAGTCTCACCGTCAGCCGGGCACTGGGGGCTCACATCTGACATCCCAGCTACTCAGGAGGCCGAGATCTGAGGATCGCAGTTCAAAGCCAGCCCAGGTAGAAAAAGTCTGTGATGCTCTGATCTTGGGTTAATCAATGAAAAGTTAGAAAGGTGTGGCTCGAGTGGTAGAGCACCAGCCTTGGGCAAAGAAAGCCAAGCCAGAACATGGGGCCTGTTGGATGCTGGTGGCTCACGCCTGTCATCCTAGCTACTCAGGAGGCTGAGATCCGAGGATTGGGTTTTGAGGCCAGAGACTCTCAGCTCCAAACACTACTCAGAAAAAAGCTAGAAGTGGTGCTGTGGCTCAAGTGGTAGAGCACTAGCCTTGAGCACAAAAAAACTCAGGGACAGCGCCCAGGCCCTGAGTTCAAGCCCCAAGATTGGCACCAAATGGGGGGGGGGGAGGAGAAAAAGTTGACTGTGGCTCTGATCCTGGGATCCTCGCTAAAGACGGGACCTCCCTTGGTTCTGTTCCCTGACCTTTGCCCTCTTTTAGCCGCCCTCTCTCCCACCCATCACTGACTCATTGACTCTCAGATCTGACACTGCCACTGAGATTGGAATTGTAGAGTCTCTGGGCCATTTGTGTGTGTCTATGTGTGTGCGCATGCGCGCAAAGTTTAGTTAATTAACTGTCATAACAAAGCTAGGGCTGGGGCGAAAAGGAATATGAGTTGCTTGTCAGAGTACTCGATTAAAACCATATGTCCTGGGAATGACTCTGCTCCTGAGGCCTGCTCAGCCTCTCTGTCCTTGGCCTCCAGGACCAGACTCCAGGCAGGGAAAACCAGAAGGATGCAGGCCTTGGGTGGGCAAGCGTGGGGAGCCAGACACCCCGCAGATCGGATAGCAGTCAGGGCAGCCAGACGCTGGCGGCTCACACCTGTCATCTTCGCTACTCAGAAGGCTGAGATCTGAGGATCGCAGTTGGAGGCCAGCCCAGGCAGGAAAGTTCCCTGAGACTCTTATTTCTAATAAACTACTCAGAAAAAGCCAGAAGTGGTGCTGTGTGGCTCAAGTGGTAGAGCGCTAGTCTTGAGCACAAAGAGGCTCAGGGACAGTGCCCAGGCCCTGAGTTCAAGTCCCAGGACCTGAGAAATATGTGTGTGTGTGTGTGTGTGTGTGTGTGTGTGTGTGTGTGTGCATGTTGGTAACAGGAACTCAGGACCTCATGCACTCACTCAGTTTTTTTCAAGTTCACAGCTGGTGCTCTACCACTTGAGCCACACCTCCAAGTCTGCCTTTTTGTTAGCTAAGCACCTATGGGATTTGTCTGCCCAGGCTGGCTTCGAACCAAGATCCTCAGATCTCAGTCTCCTGAGTAGCTAGGATGACAGGCGTGAGCCACCAGCAGCCCAGCACAGAGCTGTGATTGTTCTAGAAATGCCTGGAGATTCTCTCCAAGGCGGAATCATGGGACCATGATAAGAATTGCTGATGGGTGTTAGCCATTGTCTGGCCCTGAGATGGGGGTGTCGCCCATCTAGTCAGGCTCTGCAGGCTTTGCCAGCCCCCCAAGAGACCCCCTCCCTTCTCCCCACCCCCAGCTTGAGCAACATACTGCTTTAATTCTCAAGAAGCCCCATATGAGAACACCACAAAACCACAGGGAATTTTAAGAGTCCCTGTCATTTGCTAGAAATGTTCTCTTGCTGTCTTGGAGCTAACAGCTAGGCATTTTTCTTCAGGCTGGGGTGTGGGTTTGGGGTGGGGAAGGGAGGAGAGGGGAGAGAGGAAGCTGTTGTTGAAAAAAATGTATATATATATAATTATATATAAGATATAATAATAATAATATGTAATAGAATTCTGTCCTATATTAATAGTAAAATATATCTAATTTAAAAATATATCCAAATTCCATCAATATATAATAAAATATACAAACTAGATCTAAATATATATAACATACTGTATATCTCTATATACTATATAGATATTAAAGGCTGTTTGCCTCTGGGTGGCTTCTTTCTCATCTTCTAGAGATTTCTACTCTCTCTGTTCCACAGAGAAGAGGAGGAAGGCTGAGCTAATCAGGAAAGCCTGCAAACCAGGACCGGTAGCTCATGCCTGTAATACAAGCTACTCACGAGGCTGAGATCTGAGGAATGGGGATCAAAGCCAGCCCCGACAGGAAAGTGCATGAGATTCCAATGAACTACCCAAAAGCCGGAAGTAGAGGTGTGGCTCAAGAGATAAGGGCACCAGCCTTGAGCGTAAGAGCTAAAGGATCATGCCCAGACCCTGAGTTCAAGTCCTACGATTGGCACCAAAACATAATAAGACTTGAAGCAGATTTTTATCATTCCCAGAAGGTAATCAAGACTTCTGTAGGATTCCACCCAGAGGAAGTTTTGAAGCCAGATCCAAGGTCAAAGCTAACCTGCGTGGCTGGGAAGGTGGCTCAGTGGTAGAGCGCTTGCCTTGCACACATGAGGCCCTGGGTTCCATTCCTCAGTACCACATACACAGAAAAAGCCAGAAGTGGTGCTATGGCTCAAGTGGTAGAGCACCCAACCTTGAGTAAAAAGAAGTTCAGGGACAGCGCCCAGGCCCTCAGTTCAAGCCTCGGGACTGGCAAGAAAGAAAGAAAGAAAAGCTGGCCTGCAGATGTGGTTTGTTTGGCCAGAACCATTTTCAATCCATTTGAGCTAATGTTTAAAAAGCCAAGGTATTTCCCATAAAAATTCAGATGGCCAGCTTCCCCTGAAAGAGGAGGAAGTTCTAGACACAACTTGGAACCCACACTGCCAACATGGTTGGAGGAAAGGGAGGAGTCCTTCTGTGACTCGCTTTCCCTACTTTACCACAAGCCCCACACCCTATTGCGTTGTACCACCAAGATCGCCTAAGACTTCACTATTGCCTTTTGGTTTTGCTTTTATAAAAATACCTATTTACTTATTGGTATACTGGGGTTCAAGTCAGAGATTTCTGGTTATAGGTAGGCATATACTTCATACCCTCTTGCCTTTTTGGGGGGAGGGGAATAGATCTCGAAAGCATCCTATGTGTCATCTGGACAGCAATCCGCCTATTTCTACTTGCTGTGTCGCTAGGATGACAGGCATGCACCATGCTGTCCAACTACTCAATGGGAGAGGCTCTCAAATGGATCTCCTTGCTGACCCAAGAACTGCCATCTGCTACCCAATCCCTGCCACCCTAGTTGCTGGGATTACAGAGGTGAGCCACCGTAGTTGGCTTCAAAGACATCCATTCTTAACAGAAGATGCCCACAGACCAGAAACGGAAATGGGAAGCTTTTGGAGAGCTGCGTACGAAGGACATCTCACCTGGGGTGGAAGGACTCACGTACTAACCAGCAGGGCCTGTGGAGGTTAGGAGCTTTGGAGGTCTGGGGTTGGAGGTTTGCAGACCAACCAGTAAAGGTCCGAGCTGCCCACTGGAGGCTTGGAGGTTTGGTGGTCGAGGCTGCTCTGAGTTCTGGGTATACAGTTCTGGGTCACTGGCCCTCCTTCTAGCATAGATAAAATTCTTTGGTTATCTTTAACTTCGATGGATTGTCTTGCTCTCGGGTCTGTGAAGCCCCTCCCCCTTAGAAACATAGCCCCTCCTACTTAGAAACTATAGCCCATGCTTAGATACTGTAGCTCCTCCTACTTAGCAACTAGCCCCTCCTACTTAGTGATGTGGCTGTTAAGTCTCTCTTGTGTCTTGATGACCAGTGATGACATCTGGAGTATTTCAAGGACTCAGTGCTCAATGAAGTGATGAATAATAAAGCTAGAACCACCCCAGCTCCAGGAGTTCCCTCACACCTGTTATCTTAGGTTCTCAGGAGGCTGAGATCTGAGGATCACGGATTCAAAGCCAGCCCAGGCAGAAAAGTCCACATATGTGGAATGAGATACCAAAAAGCCAGAAGTGGAGCTGTGGTTTAAGTAGTAGAGCACCAGCCTTGAGCAAAAAAAAAAGGCTCAGGGACAGTATCCAGGCCCTGAGTTCGAGCCCCAGGACTGGCACCAAAACAAAAAAATACAAAACAAGGAATACAATGATACCCTTGGGTTCTAAGAAGGCTGCTGGGGTGAATTTGGGGTGAATTCTGGGTGAATTTGAGTACAGGGTCCATTCTGGGCATAGGAAGGATCTTTCCCAGTGAGGCCAGCAGAAAGATATACCACGAACAATCTAGAATTGCTACCACACACACCTTAGCATGGCCCCCTTCCAGAGGTTACCCACATAGTACCTGTGGGTGAAAGATCCTTCCCAGACCTAAGCTTTTTCCTGATCTATTTTTGTGCCAGTCCTGAGACTTGAACTCAGGACATAGGTCTGGTCATTTAACTTTTCCACTCAAGGCTGGCACTAGAATACTTGAGCCACAGTTCCCCTTCTGGCTTTTCGATGGTTCGCTGGAGATAAAAAAAAAAAAAAAGAGTCTCACCTTTCCTGTTGGGCTGGCTTCAAACTATGATCCTCAGATCTCAGCCTCCTAAGTCGCTAGGATGACAGGAGTATGCCACAGCACCTGGCCCATACCCATACATGGGTCTTTTAACTAGTTCTTGGCTCGCTAAGTACAGCATTTCTGGAAAATTCACTACCCAACTTGGCTCCTCAACCTAGAACCAGGAATCTAACCACCCCAAGCCAAGATGAGAGAACTGGAATCCTCTGGATGGTTCTTCTGGAAGAGGTTGTATGCTTACTGCCAGCCAACACCCACCAAAGCCAAACAAAACTGCCCACAGGTAAACAGCCTGGGATACAGCCCCGTCCCGCGGCCACTTTCGTGGAAATCCAAGCCAGTAGTGGGGAGAAACGCTGGACCAGGACAGATGTACCAACCCCTGTACGTCCAGCTGGAGGCTGGGCAGGAGGGAATCCAGTGGCCGGAGTTAGGTACCATTAGCAAAGTAAGACAGGTAAATTCCACACTACTGGTTTGGTCTCTCTCCTACGTTTTTCCCCCAGTCCTGGGGCTTGAACTCAGGGTCTGGGCATTGTCCCTAAGCTTCTCTGGCTCAAAGCTAGCGCTCTACCACTTGAGCTCCAGTGCTACTTCCGGCTTTTTCTGTGGATGTGGTCCTGAGGACTCGAACCTGGGGCTTCCTGCATGCTAGGCGAGCGCTCTACCACTGAGCCACCTTCCCAGGCCCTCTCTCCTACTTCTGTACAAGCAATGTACACAAAACCAGTTCCAAGGATTTCAAGATGAAATACGTCCATGTTGTCCAATTAAGATGATCGGTGTTAACTTTTAAAGAAGTCATTTGGGCCACAGGCCAGTGGCTCACGCCTGTCATCCTTGCTACTCAGGAGGCTGAGACCTGAGGATCGTGGTTCGAGGCCAGCCCAGGCAGGAAAAAGCCCATGAGACTCTTAGCTCCAATGAACCACGGCAAAGACAGAAGTGGCGCTGGGGCAGGACCCCAAGACCAGCTGTACACACCCAGAGCCAATGGCTGCCCTGAAAACCACCTGTGCAGGTGCCCACCCCCCCTCCACACACACACAAGGCCCAGCCACACCCGTGATTACCTCCTGGAATCCCTACCATGTCTCTGCAGGTTTGCTGCCAGTGCTGTGAGGTGTTCATCCAAGGAGCAGATTCATTTCCTCTAGCCCCCCACCAGGCAATGTACCTAGCAGAGGGGGGCTGGGAGAGGGGAGAGGAACCCTGTGTAAAGTTCCAGGGTGCTAGGCACACAGAACGCCCCGCAGGTGGGAGAGCTCCCAGAGTGATCTGAAAGCCTGGATCGCTGCGATCTAGAAGGATCTAAGGGAGTCTCTAAGCAGCTGCAAAGTCCGGTCGATCAGCTGCACTTTTTTTTTTTTTTGGCAAAGTTTGCAAAGTCCCAGCCAGGAGTGAATGTCCCAGCAAAGCAAGGGAGGGGAACCTCCCTTCACAATAAAAGTCCTGCCCAGGGCTGGGCTGGGTGAGCTGGGAATGAAGGCTCCACCCTCTGGGTCCATTGCCAAGGCTAGCCAGGGGTGCCTGGCACAGAGCTCCCCAATTTGGCCTCTAATGTGTGCAAATAAGATGGTGTATATGCTACCTGGGGGGGTCTCTCCCCCTGTTCCCCCCTCAACTGCCAACGTCTGCGGCAAAACCACAGAAAGACAAAGCTCTTTCACTACTACCTTTTTTTTTTTTTTTTTTCCCTCTCTCGGGCTCAGTTCCCAAAGGCGGTTTGGAAGGAAAAAGCTGATGCCCACTTCACAATGGACAGATTTTTCTCAAGAGATCCACACGTTTGTGCAAAAGTTGTTGGGGTTCAGGGTGGAGGGTGGGGCTGTGTCGCCCTGCTAACATGATCAGGGCAAGGAGCTAAGGTGTGTGTGTGTGTGTGTGTGTGAGAGAGAGAGAGAGAGAGAGAGAGAGAGACAGTAAGAGGGGCCTAGGTACTGTCCCGTAGCTTTTCCATTCAAGGCTGGTGTTCTACTATTTGAGCCACACCACCGCCCCATTTCTGGCTTTCGGGCTGGGTTTCCCTGGAGATCTGAGTCTCATGGGACTTGATCCTTCCAGGGCTGGTTTTGAACCATGATCCTCAGGATCTCAGCCTCCTGAGTAGCTAGGATACCGCAGGCATCAGCCACCCACAGCAGTCTAAAAAGATTCAAGCAGATAATGAATGTAAGGCGCTTTCTCGTACAGCCACCATGGTTGGCTTAGCAACTTCTGAAGGTCAGGAGCAGATTAAGATATGAGGATCTGCAGCTTGTTAAAGATGTGAGGGTCAAAGTCAGCATTTCCAGTGAACCACCAAAAAGCCGGAAGTGGAGCTGGGGCTCAAGTGTTAAATCACTAGCCTTGAGCAAAAAAGCTAAGGGACAGTGCCCAGGCCCTGAGATTACACCCCAGCACATGCGTGCACAAGCATGCACATGCGTGTGTGCACACATGTGCACATGCACATATACGTGAAAAATGAATCTTGAGAACTCACAGGATTGGGTTTCCTAAGTTTCTCTCAGTAGTCACGACTGACCTCCTTAGAAGTAGAACAGAATAAATAAGCTTCCATTCTAGGCTGGCAGGAAAGATCTGACACTTTCGGATTGCAGCCATCAAGGGTATAAAGAGAAGCTTCATACAAGGATTGAAAGAATAGCGCCACCTGGTGCTCAGCCTTCCACACGGCAGGTATCTTGTGCTTTAATTCAGCCCTGAGTTCTTTGACAGCTATTGTAGAATGTATAGGCAGAGCCCGAACAAAGACCACCTCAGGACAATTATTCATCAACAATCTCAACATCCGGGACTTTACACCCGAGTATATTTGGGGCCTGCTCGCTTCAGAACCAGTTCCAGTCTGACCACCTTGCATAGGCTTTTGACAGAAATTAACCAGAACACAGGTTTTGCGGTTACTGGAAATTGGGAGTTCATTCTCAGAGCAGATTTTCCCACCTGATAAAGAGGAGGAATACCTGACAATACCATCTCATACCAATGTTATAGGGAAAGAAATACAAGGGTTGGACACTGATGGGTCACGCCTGTCATCCTAGCTACTCAGTAGCCTGAGATCTGAGGATCATGGTTCAAAGCCAGCTTGGGCAGGAAAGACCATGAGACTCTTATCTCCAATGAACCACCAGAAAACAGGAAGTGACACTGTGGTTCAAGTGGTAGGGCGCTAGCCTGGAGATGAAGAACTCAAAGACAGTGCCCAGGGCCTGAGTTCAAGCCCCACGACCATAGAAATAAAAAATAAATGTTACCTGATAGTGATGCATTGATATCCATTACAGGACAGATGAATCTTGGAAATATGACTGAGATAATGTATGGGGTTAGGAGAGATGGAGAATAATCAAAGGGGTGACACTAACCAAGATGCATTACACTCATAACCTCACATAAAGAACTGAAAGCCCTTGGGCTGGGAATGTGGCTTAGTGGTAGAGTGCTTGCCTAGCATACATGAAACCCTGGGTTCAATTCCTCAGTGCCACATACTCAGAAAAGGCTAGAAGTGGCACTGTGGCTCAAGTGGTAGAGTGCTAATCTTGAGCAAAAGCAGCTCAGGGACAGTGGCCAGGTCCTGAGTTCAAGCCCCAGGAATGGCAAAAAGAAATAGTTAAAATATAAATAAGTAAAAAGAACTTAAACTAGCTGGGAGCTGGTGACTCATGCTTATCATCTTTGCTTCGCAGAAGGCTGAGCTCTGAGAATTGTAGTTCAAAGCCAGCCTGGGGAAGGAAGTCCATGAGAATCTTAACTTATGGCTCAAGAGGTAGAGTACCAGCCTCACGGGAAAAAGCTAAGGGTTAGCTCCAAGGCCTAACTACTAGTACTAACACTAAAAATTAAAGAAAAATAAAAAGACATGAGCCTCCTTTGTATAGCAACATGAATTTTAATGAGTTGAGAAACAAACCATATGTTTCAGATCATTTCATATGGCACCTGTTGCGCCTTAGAAAACTGTTATTTAAAGGTCAAAATTTAAGCCTTTTTTCTGTCTTCCCAGCAAGGAAATCTCTCAGGATATTGTATTATTTTAACTAAGTAAGCGTATCTTCTTAATTTCAATATTAATCCTAGAGGAGAGAAAAACAATGGTATCTGTAAGTTACCTTCAAGGATCTCAATTTCCCAGTTATGTAAGCTAGGTGCTGGTGGCTCACACCTGTCATCCTAGATCCTCAGAAGGCTGAGATCTGAGGATCGTGGTGTGATGCTAGCCTGGGCAGAAAAGTCTGTGAGTTGCCTATCTCCAATTTAAGTACAAAGCCTGAAGTACAAGGAGGTGTGGCGAAAGTGGTAGATCACCAGCCTTGAGCAAACAAAAAAATACTAAGCAAAAGCAGGATGTCCTGAATTCAGTTCCTAATGCTGGCACAAAAAGATAAATGATCTGAATCTTTTAACATATTCTCTAAGCGTGAAAAGCAAAAAAAAATTAATTGTTCTGTTAGTTCTGCTGGCTAGTGGACAAGAAAATGGTGCAGCCAGCTGGGTACCTGTAGCTCATGCCTATAATCCTAGCTACTCAGGAGGCTGAGATCTGAGGATCACAGTTTGAAGCCAACCTGGGCAGGAAAGTCCAATTAACTCCAATGTTAACCACCCTCAAACCAGAAGTGGTATTGTGGCTCAAGTAGTAGAGCATTAGCCTTGAGCACAAAGAGGCTCAGGGACCTGAGTTCAAGCCCCATGACCGATTAAAAAATTAAAAAAGAAAAAAAAAAAGAAAGGAAACGGTGCAGCCCATTTATTGACCCTGTAAAACAAAGTGGGAAAAAATGATCATGCATAACCAGTTATTTAGAAAATGTTTTCTCCATATCCCCAAGGACAAAAGCATTCCGGCGTATAACACAACCAGCCTGCTCCAGTCTGAAGAAGAACCCAGCAGGAATGGTTTGATCAAGGAGCCCAAGGTACTCTTCAAAGTGCCAGGCATAAAGAACACAGATCTGGTCAGGTGCCAGTGGCTCAGGCCTGTCATCCTAGCTACTCAGGAGGCTGAGATCTGAGGATCATGGTTCAAAGCCAGCCTGGGCGGGAAAGACTGTGAGACTCTTATCTCCAATCAACCACCAGAAAACCAGAAGTGGTGCTGTGGCTCAAGTGGTAGAGCCCTCTCTTTGAGCTGAAGAGGTCAAAGACAGTGCCCAGGCTGAGTTCAAGCCCCATGACCGACCAAAAAAAAAAAAAAAGTAAGAAAGAGTTGTGGCTCAAGTGGCAGAGTTCCAGCCTTGAGTAGAAAAGCAAAGGGACAGTTTCCAGGCCTTGAGTTCTAGCTCTAGTATCCCCCCACTTTACCCCCTTGCAAACACACAAACAAGAAGCAAGATCTTTCCATTGGATGGGGTGAAAGCAAATGAAGAGCAAAGCATAACTTACTTGGGAAGGCCGTTTTCCAGTCTCCTCTAGGCAACACTTCCTGCCGCTGTGTGAAAGGCTCGTTCCCTTCCTCCAGCTGCGAGATCAGAGCTGGCTTGGAAATGGGTGTCCTTGCTTGAAGAGGGAAACAAAAATACTACAATTGCTGGGTGCTGGTGGCTCCCGCCTGTCATCCTATCTCCTCAAGAGGCTGAGATCTGAGGATCATGATTCAAAGCCAGCCCAGATAGAAATGTCCCGGTGAGATTCTTTATCTCCAATAAATCATTCAAAAACCGAAAGTGGCGCTGTTGGCTCAAGTGGTAGAGTGCTAGGCTTGAGCACAAAGAGGCTCAGGGACAGCGCCCAGGCCCTGAGTTCAAGGCCTATGACTGACAACAATTAGAGGAGGAGGATGGGTGCGGGAGGGGAAAGGATGTTAAATTCTCAGGGTAGGAAGGAGATGGGCTTTCCCAAGAGAAGAGAGAGGTTCCATAGGAAATACCCGGATGGTATCTCAAGTCATGCTGTATCTACAGCATCACCTCGAAGGCAGGGAAGGACGTAGACCATGACTCTTCCATGATGGCGGATGGTCACCAGAACCCCCTGAGCTTCACCTAGCTGCCCACCTCCGATCACTGCTGGGTGGAATGAGCTACTGTGGACACATGAGCGATTCCTGCTCTAAAGGGAACCTCGTGGAGATGAGAATCCTTACCCACGGAAGCCACAGTCTTGTAGTTCTCCATCATCACGTCCTTGTACAGGGTCTTCTGAGCAGGGGTCAGGCTGGCCCATTCTTCCTCGGTGAAGCGCACGGCTACATCTTCAAAAGTCACTGGCACCTAAAACAAGATCATAAAAAAGCTTTTTTGGTTTGTTGGCC